GTGTTGTTGTGTCGTGGGTGGTGTTGTGTCGTGGGTTGGTGTTGGTGTTGTGGGTTAGGTTAGGTTGGTGTTGTGTCGTGGTTGGTGTTGGTGTTGTGTGGTTAGGTTAGGTTGGTGTTGTGTCGTGGGTTGTTGTGTCGTGGGTTGGTGTTGTGTCGTGGGTTGGTGTTGGTGTGTCGTGGGTTGGTGTTGTGTGTTGTTGGTTAGGTTAGGTTGGTGTTGTGTCGTGGGTTGGTGTTGGTGTTGTAGATTGAATGACAGACAGGTGTAAATACAAACGAAGAGATATAGAAAGTTAGAGAGAGCAGAGAGAGGAAAAGAGAATAACAACAATCACTACTACCACCACTACCACCTACCACCACCACCACCACCACCACCATAACACCACTACCTACCACCACCACCACCACTACCACACTACACCACTAACACCACCACCCACTAACACACCACCACCACCACCCCACCACCAACACCACACCACCACCACCACCACCACCACCACCACCACCACTACCACCACCACCACTACCACCACCACACCACCACCACTACCACCACCACCACCACTACCCACCACCATACCACCCACTACCACCACTACCACTACTCACACACACAACCACTACCCACCATATCAGTCTTGTGGTCAAGTCAAGTAATTTCACCGGAACTTACTAATAAAGTTCCAAGATCACAAAACTTTTTGGTATCTCAGTACCAGTAGTGTGGCAGCGCTGGGGGTGTGTGGCGGCGCTAAGGGTGTGTGTGTGTGGCGCTAAGTGTGTGGCAGTGTGGCGGCATGGGTGTGTGTGGCAGTGTGGCACTAGGGTGTGTGGTGGTGTGCTGGGGTGTGTGGCTGGGTGTGTGGTGTGGCGGCGCTAGGGTGTGTGGTGGCGTGTGGCGCTAGGGTGTGTGGCAGTGTGGCGCTAGGGCGTGTGGTGGTGTGGTGTACCAGGTGTTGGCGGCGCTAAGGTGTGTGGCAGTGTGGCGGCGCTAAGTGTGTGGTAGCGTGGCGGCAGGGTGTGGTGGTGTGGCGGCGCTTAGGGTGTGGTAGTGTGGCGGCACTAGGGTGTGTGGTGGTGTGGGGTGTGTGTGGCGGCTGGGGTGTGGCAGTGTGGCGGCGCTAGGGTGTGTGGATGGCGGCGCTGGGGTGTGTGGTGTGGCGGCGCTGGGGTGTAGTGTGGCGGCATGGGGTGTAGTGTGGCGGCGCTGGGGTGTGTGGTGGTGGCGGCGCTGGGGTGTGTGGCGGTGGCGCTGGTGTGTGGTGTGGCGGCGCTAGGGTGTGGTGTGGCGCTAGTGGTGGCGGCGCTGGGGTGTGTGGTAGTGTGGCGGCACTAGGGTGTGTGGCAGTGTGGCGGCGCTAGGGTGTGGTAGTGTGGCGCTAAGGGTGTGTGGCAGTGTGGCGGCGCTAGGGGTGTGTGGCGCTAGGGTGTGTGGTAGTGTGGCGGCAGGGGTGTGGTGTGGCGGGTGTGTGGTGTGGCGCTAGGGTGTGTTAGTGTGGCCAAACTCCCCTTCATATACTTGATGTCGCCCTGAAAATACTACCTTTACTTAATCAACAACCTAACCTAACCTAACCTTAACTGACGTAAAAAATCTCTCTCTCTCTCTCTCTCTCTCTCTCTGTCTCTCTGGAAATACTGTACCCCAACAGCTTCCAGACCCAGTGAAGAGCCGAGCCACAAAGACCTGCCTGACGACACACAGTTCTCCTCTCATAAAAATGTCGTGGGAGGTGAAGGATGGGTGTAGTGAGGGAGAAGTGGTGGGTGAGGGAGAGGTTTTGGTGGTGAGTGAGGGAGGATTGGTTGTCGGGGTGGATGAGGGAGGTTTGATTAGACAGGGTTGATGGTGGTGGTGGGTGAGGGAGAGGTTCGTGGTGGGTGAGGGAGGGAGGGTGAGGGAGGGTGGGTGAGGGAGAGTGAGGAAGTAGTCACAGAAATAAGGAAAGAGCTCATTTCAGCCACTTGATGACGGACCAACAGGATTGAGGGACACGATTTGGGGCAACACCTACAAAAAACTCTCTCTCTCTCTCCTTCTCTCCTCATTCTCATCTCCCATTTCCCCCATTCTCCCATTAAACTTTATTGTCTTCTCTCTCTTCCCCCATTCCCCATTTCCCTATTAAACACATTATCTTCTCTTGTCTATCTCTCTCCCCATACTTGTTTCCGTGTCTCTCCTACACATCCCTCCATCTCTAGGTCTCTTACCCCCCCCACCTCGTGTGGGGGATGGATCAAGGGTTCAGAAACCTCAAAAGAAATGAGAGAGAATGGAAGTATTAGTAGTGAATGTGTGCGACAAGTAGCCACACACACACCCACACACACACACACACACACACACACACACATCCTCACATGTACCTAATGTAAATAATAGTAAAATAGTATTAAAATAGCAGTATAATAGTTGCAAAATCGCAGTAAAATCAGTAAAATAGAAATCAAATAGCAATAAAAATAGAAAATAGTAAAATAGTGGTAAAATGCTAGTAAAATAATGATAAAATAGTGAAAGTAATAGGAAAATAACAACATAATAGCAAGACAAGTAATACTAAAAGACACTATCCATGTTCTTGAAGAGGTTCGGTTAGGTTAAGTTAGGTTAGGGTAGGGTAGGGTAGGTTTAGGTTAGGGTAGGTTTAGGTAGGTTTGGTTTAGGGTACGTTAGGTTTAGGTTAGGTTTTGGTTAGGTTAGGTTAGGTTCAATATCCGCCACTGTGCCTCCTTGAGAACTCTTGATAAGAAAACAATACAGAAGGTCTTTTATGGTCTCGTGCTGTCCCCGGGGGTAGACTCCTTATGGTGTCTCTCCCTCGTCATACGGCAAGGAGGAGGAGACGAGGGAGGAGGGGTGATGTGGGAGGGGATAGGGAGGGATGAGGGTGATGTGGGGAGGGATAGGGAAGGAGGAGGGTGAGTAGAAGACAGGGAGGGAGTAATGTGTAAGATGGAGGGGAGGAGGAGACGAAAAAGGAGAAAGTGAGGCGGAAGGGAATTGGGGGGAAGGGAAGAGGAGGTGATGATGGTGGAGACGATGGGAGGGAAGGAGAGGTTAGTGCCGGGAGAGAGCCGGAGGGAGGGAGCAGAAGTGGAGGAAGGATCGGCGGAAGACAGAACGAGAGGGGGAACGCTGCCCCCTCCTAGCCCCCTCTCCTCCCTCCCTCTCCTCCCTCTCCTAACCCCCTCTCCTCCCACTCCTAGCCCCCTCTCATCCGACTCCTAGCCTCGAGCAAACAAATGGGGCGCTGAGGGCTAGGGAAGGTTAAGAGCTCAAGGACAAAATATTGGAGACAATTTTTGTTGGTCGTTTTCCATTACCGTAGAGACGATGAGAAGGAAGACGACACTCATCCTTAACACGCACACGCACACACACACACACACACACCGTCTCCACTGAAATAAGATCAGAAAATCACTTGAACTTTAAGCCATAAACTTTTTCCAACTCAGTAAATTCATTCTTGGATTTCCATTTAGGAGAAAAATTTACCGTCTGAATCTTTTGATAATATTGGCTTGTGTGACGTAAGTTAGCAGGGGGAGGGACGGGTTACTCAGCAGGCAGCAGGGGGAGGGACGAGTTATTCAGGCAGCAGTGGGAGGAACGAGTTACTCAGGCAGCCCAGTGTGAGGACGGTGCTCAGGCAGCAGTGTGAGGGACGAGTTATTCAGGCAGCAGGGAGCAGGTTGCTCAGGCAGCATGATGTGAGGACGGTTATTCAGGCAACAGTGTGAGGACGAGTTATTCGGGCAGCAGTGGGGAGACGAGTTTACTCAGGCAGCAGTGTGAGGACGGAAGGTTACTAAGCAGGCAGCAGTGGGAGAACGAGTTACTCAGGCAGTGTGTGAGGACAGGTTATTCCGGGCAGCAGTGGGAGGAACGAGTTATTCAGGCAGCAGTGGGAGGAACGAGTTACTCAGGCAGCAGTGTGAGGGACGAGTTACTAAGCAGGCAGCAGTGAGTGACGACCCACCACCCCTCGAAGCCGACCATCGATAAACTACCCTTAAAATTATATATCCGATATTTGGTCTCCCTTTACCCTCCCGACCCACCCCCAACTCCTTCCGAGCCCACCCCAACCCACCCTGACACATCCAACTACCCCCACCCACTACAACTCCCCCCACCCACTACAACTCCCCCCACCCACTACAACTCCCCCCAACCCACCCCTAACCGACCCAAACCCACCCTGACTCACACTAGTTATGTAAATGATAGCGTGGTGACACTCCCAGAGGTCGGGCGAGGGAGCGTCGATTCACAGGAAAATATTAAAATTGAAACTTTCCTTCTCCAGAAAAATACAAACTTATTACTAACAATATTGACATGACTGAGCATTTTTTGAGGGGTGGGGGGGTGCTAGACGACTCTCTTGAAAACACCTGATATATACCTGTTAATTAGTCCCCAGGTAATTAGTGAATAAATGTTACCTGGGTTATAATCTACATTATTATATGGTGTTAGTAAATAGGTATTGAACTATTAATCCTTCAAGTGTGATGTGATAACCGCTTGAGTGTGATGTGGGGTACCGCTTGAGTGTGATGGCAAAACTTGAATATGAAGATAAATCATCGTACTTAATGGGTTAAGACATAGTACTCAAGGGTTAAGACATAGTACTCAAGGGTTAAGACATAGTACTCAAGGGTTAAGACATAGTACTCAAGGGTTAAGACATCGTACTCAAGGGTTAAGACATCGTACTCAAGGGTTAAGACATCGTACTCAAGGGTTAAGACATAGTACTCAAGGGTTAAGACATCGTACTCAAGGGTTAAGACATAGTACTCAAGGGTTAAGACATCGTACTCAAGGGTTAAGAATACGGAGACGTGACTGAGGGCAAAACGTGGTGTGTGGTGGTGTGTGGTGGGGTCATCGTTGAGAATCGTCTGCTACATAATTTCACCTTGTTTCTCAGTACTGTTCTATAATCACAACTGGTAACGCACTGTACTCACCCTCTTCCACATGTAAATATAAGCCACCTCCATTAACGTCCAGGTGTCTATTAATCTGTCGTCTCCGTAAAGTAATTCAACCTGTGGAAGGAGATAATAAGGGTGATAATTATTTACATTGTAGAGGGATAATCGTCCTTATGAATACGTTTTGGAATTATAGGAATTATATATCGGAATTATGCATCTTCCCTTGATATGATTGGCAGTAGCAATCCAACATTAATTTTGAAGTAATACCTGGTACTAATTATTTATCATACATGTGCCACTTATCATACCTGTACTAATTATCATACCTGTACTAATTATCATACATGTACTAATTACCATACATGCGCCAATTATTATACCTGTACTAATTATCATACATGTGTCAATTATCTCTCTCTCACACACACACACACACACACACACACACACACACACACACACACACACGGTACCGGGGTGAGCTTGAACACACATGTACAATTTTAATGAGAAAAGCCTCAATGTTGGAGCAGATGTTGTGAATAATTACTGCTAGCGAGAGCCTGTGTTCCCTCCCTTCTTTTCCTCCTTCCTTTTCTCCCTCCTTCTTTCTCTCCCTCCCTCCTTCCCTTTCCCCCTCCCTTCTGTTTCCTAGCTTCTCTCCCTACCTCCTTTCCTCCTGTCGACCCTCCCCCTCCCTTCTCTCCCTCCTTCCCTTCCTTCTTCTCTCCCCATCCTTCCTTCTCTCCCTCTTGACAACCCCCCCTCTCTTCTATTTACTTACCCTCCCTCACACCCCGTTTAATCTCCCTGCATCCCTACTCTCTCACTCTCCCTTCAAGCCACCCTCTCTACCCTTCTTAAAACAACCAACCATCCCTCCTCCTCCCTTCCTTCCTTCCTCTCCTTTTTTCCCTTCCCCCCTCCTCTCCTTTTTTTCTCCCTCCTCTCCCTTTTCTCCTCCTCTCCCTTCACCTTCCCTCCCTAGAGCAAGTCATTCACCATTTCACCCGGAATTCTCTGTTGACTCAATAGACCCCTTGTGTTCACCTGCTCTCTCTCTCTCTCTCTCTCTCTCTCTCTCTCTCGCCTATCAATTTACACAATATTAATCACTCGCCATTATCTATCTCCTAATGACCACTTTAATACCCCCCCACACACACCACTGTCTCCTTTTCGTTTTCCTTTTATCTTCTTTCTTTCTCTTGTTCTTCCTTCCTTCCTTCATTCTCTTTATTCTTCCTTCCTTCTAGTTTTTCCTCATTCTTCCTTTTCGGTGGTTCATATGTACGGGTATCAGTGGTGGGTGTAAAGGCGCAGCACCACGTGGGAATGGGCTCAGGTGTGTGTGTGTGTGTGTGTGTGTGTGTCTGTCTGTCTGTCTGTCTGTCTGTCTGTGTGTGTGTCTCTAATTCACACGTATTTGAGGGAAGGTTTTTGTGTTGTGAACGCCAGCCGACTCGTAATGGCTAGTCTCTCTCTCTCTCTCTCTCTCTCTCTCGTTATAATGGCAATAGTAATAATGATATAATAATAATAATTATCATAATTTAACGTCAATGACATTTAATAACAATAATAACAATATTAATGAGAGTAATAATAATAATATATAATAAGGCAGAGATATAGGTAAGGTAAGGTGAGGTGAGGTAAGGCTAGGTGAGGTGAGGTGAGGTGAGGTAAGGTAAGGCAAGGTAAGGTAAGGTAAGGCTAGGTGAGTAAGGTAAAGGCTAGGTGAGGTAAGGGTAAGATTCAGGCTGGGAGTGAGGGCTAAAGGCTAGGCAGGAATGGAGTAAGGTAAGGTGAGGTGGAGTGGGTGGAGTGAGGTAAAGATGGAGTGAGGCAAGGTAAAGGTAAGGTGGAGTGGGCATATATTAGGCGGTGCAATTAGCACCTGGGGGATCAGGTACACGGTACTTGGTTTTAACGAGGGTCTTGAGTACTGCTACTGGCACTGTCGCTGGGCACCGAAAGTACCTGACGACACTGCCTGCTGACCCACTCTCCGTCTCCTCTCTGTTGACGAAATAACCAAGACAGTTGTTAGTTAAGGCAAGTCTAGTTTACCTTTACAACTCATTGCTCAGATAGATAGATAGATAGATAGATAGATAGATAGATAGATAGATATTTAACATGTCACTTTAAAGGCTCACTGTAAGGCCCCTGTGAGCATCAGGGGCTAAGGCTCTCACTTCCTCTCTTGTAAATTAAGACTCAATTCATTTACGAAGCGGCGTACTAACGGGGTCCTGATTTACATACAAGGTGGAGACATTGATAGAATTCCAAATGGTTGACCTCTTTATAGCGACTCTACCGTGATTTGGGGGTTATCATTAGTATAGCTTGTTGTTGTTATTTGTGGTCATTGTTGTTATTATTAGCTGTTATGGCCAGAGGTGTTGAAGCCTACCTTGAAGAATACGCCCCTCACCCACGCCTCTCACACACGCCCCTCACCCACGCCCTTCACCCACGCCTCACACACGCCCTTAACCCACGCCTCTCACACACGCCCTTAACCCACGCCGCTCACCCACGCCCACCATACACCAGGTTATACTGTTAGCTCTCCCACACCCTCCCCTCCCCACACCACAAAACTAACATGACGTCATGCATTAGTTGGCCAGTCGTAACACACCAAAATGAGACTAACATGACGTCACGCATGCTTTGGCCAATCGGAGCACAACACCATAAGCATAAAACGTGACGTGAAGCAAGAGGCGGCGGCAGCCACTCACATGACGCACTGAAATATGACATCACTCTGAGATGACATTATTTACAACTATTGACCAATCACGAATCACATCAATGAGACAGATATAACGTCACCAATCGTTCAATCATTCACTTAAACGAAACTCAACACATCTAATCACCTTATCTTATCAGAACCGATAATTAAGTGGTAATATTCTAATCACCAATTACACGTCAGAATTACACACACGCACACACACGCGCACACACACATACACAGCTGTACGTAATTTTGTTTCGTGTTATGAGTCAACTGTCGGTGTTTTGTATGAAACTGAAGATTAACCACCCCAGTTTATTTCACCTGATGATTAACACCCAAACGCTACCTGGGGGTTAGGTTAGGTTAGGTTAGCCACCATAACTACCACAATTAAAACCACCACTACCACAATTTTAACCACCACCGTCCTACCCACCACTAAACAAACACCACACATCACTTCCTTAACACGAGTTGAGTCCATTACTACGCCACTAACACAAACACACGCCTTTACATAAACACCCTCATCTTCACTACACACACACACACACACACACACACAGCATCTTTATACACCATTAATATTAACACACAACACTACATCTTTATTACACGCCATTAAGACACCATTATGACAACACGAGTATCACACCATGTTAAGATATTTCACCATACGGTCATCATCATTGCACCACTAAAACAACGATGTGCGTGTGTGTGTGTGTGTGTGTGTGTGTGAGGACGTGAATGTGAATGTGCGTGGCTGTGTATACATGTGTTTGAATCTATGTGTACGTATCTGAAAATCTTGTGTGTGTAGTGAGAACGTGAACGTGTGTGTGTAGTGAGAACGTGAACGTGTGTGTGTGTGTGTGTAGTGAGAACGTGAACGTGTGTGTGTAGTGAGAACGTGAACGTGTGTGTGTGATGACAACGTGAACGTGTGTGTGTAGTGAGAACGTGAACGTGTGTGTGTAGTGAGAACGTGAACGTGTGTGTGTGTAGTAAGAACGTGAACGTGTGTGTGTAGTGAGAACGTGAACGTGTGTGTGTGTGATGAAAACGTGAACGTGTGTGTGTAGTGAGAACGTGAACGTGTGTGTGTGTTGTGAGAACGTGAACGTGTGGGCGGGGGCGATATACCCTGGAGAAGGTCGCCTCAACACCTCATAAATTATTCACACCGAAACTTTCCATACAAGACAGCCTCTAGCGGCCCGGCCAGCCCTCCCACACTACTAATTTCTTATGGGGGAAAATTAATGAATACTTAACACTTTCCCCCCTCCCCTTCCCTCCCCCTCCCCCCTGAGTATGATGTTAACCCCTTGAATACGATGTTAACCCCTTGAGTATGATGTTAAGTCCTTGAATGTGATGTTAACCCCTTGAGTATGATGTTAACCCCTTGAATACGATGTTAACTCTTGAGTATGATGTTAACCAATACGATGTTAACCCTTGGAGTATGATGTTAAGCCTCGAATACGATGTTAACCCCTTGAGTATGATGTTAACTTGAATACGATGTTAACCCTGAGTATGATGTTAACCCCGAATACGATAAGTTAACCCTTTGAGTATGATAAGTTATTCTCGAATACGATGTTAACCCCTTGAGTGATGATGTTAACTCCCCTTGAATACGATGTTAACCCCTTTGGAGTATGATATGTTAACCCCATGAGTGTGATGTTAACCCCTTGAGTATGATGTTAACCCCTTGAATGTGAACCCCATGAGTATATTAACCTCTTGAGTATGATGGCAAGCCTTTGAGTGTGATGTTAACCCCATGAGTGTGATGTTAACCCCATGAGTGTGATGTTAACCCCTTGAGTATATTAACCCCATGAGTATGAGGACAATGGTTTAAACTATAACCCTTTGAAGACGTTGGTTTAAACTTTATGAATACAATGGCTTAAAACTAACACATTCTGGAAGATAATAACGCGCTATAAACACCGAAGGGGTTAAACTACCATCGTTAAGGGATCAAACACCCAGTCACAACATGAACAAAACGAGTCATTACCGGGAGAGAGAGAGAACATAAACACGAGGCCACAAACTAGAGCGGTTAACCAGCAAACAACCGGTATGAACCACACGCCACGAGGACCTCCCGTAAGAGGTATTGTCCCCCCGCCCCAAGGACCATAAACACAGGTGTATTCTGAGGTGATAAGTCAACTGTTTACTATTGTTTATTTGTTTAGTTAGTTGTTTGCGTTTGTTTACTTAATTACGCTTATTGTTTACTTGTTTGCCTTTATTGTTTGCATGTTTTATATGGTCGATCAATCGTATCAGCCAATGAGAAACAGGATGTATTTTAAGTCAGCCAATGAAAAACTTAGTGGCTGGTTAGCGGAGAACTGAGAGCAGGGTTGGGTTAAGTTAAGTTAGGTTAGGTTAGATTAAGTTAAGTTAGGTTAGGGGAAGACTCATAGCAGGGTTAGGTTAGGGGAAGACTCATAGCAGGGTTAGGTTAGGGGAAGACTCATAGCAGGGTTAGGTTAGGTTAGCGGAGGACTCAGAACAGGGCGAGAGATCAACCACCCGCAGCGACTCTCCAGTTTTTCCCTCACAACAAAAAAGCTCCATCTAGCGACACCTGCGGAGTAAAGTGGCATTAGTGAGGGTCATTACGAGTCTGACTGTCGTGGCCAACACATCTCCGGCGCCTGTGTCAGCACCTAATTCCTCCTCCACACTACACCAAGTATATATGGTTCTTGTGGCGGGTCAGTTGGTTATAGTAGTTGGTTAGGTTAGGCGCGAAAAACAGGTTAAGATCTTTGAGCATTTCGTCCTTAAACTGGACATTTTCCCCTTCAAACAAGTGAATCCAAAGCAATAGACATACAGACATTCACAGCAGTACCCAGACATTCACAGCAGTACCCAGACATTCACAGCAGTACCCAGACATTCACAGCAGTACCCAGGCATTCACAGCAGTACCCAGACATTCACAGCAGTACCCAGACATTCACAGCAGTACCCAGACATTCACAACAGTACCCAGACATTCACAGCAGTACCCAGACAATCACAGCAGTACCCAGACAATCACAGCAGTACCCAGACATTCACAACAGTACCCAGACATTCACAGCAGTACCCAGACAATCACAGCAGTACCCAGACATTCACAGCAGTACCCAGACATTCACAGCAGTACCCAGACATTCACAGCAGTATGCCATCTGTTACTAGAGGCTGTAAATGTCTGTCTACCTGCGCCGAGGGAACATTTGTATGAGAGAGAGAGAGAGAGAGAGAGAGAGAGAGAGAGAGAGAGAGAGAGAGAGAGAGAAGACTCCTCCACGCCACTACACGGTCTTCATAATTAAAGGATTAGTGTGAAGCGTCAACACTCAAACGGCATGATTGAGCGCCACCTCCTGTCTGTCCCGGCCCTCACTCCTCCTCTTCTACCTCCTCTCCTCTCCTATTCCTCCTCCTCTACTCTACTTCTCTCTTCCTCTCCTCTTCTTCTACCCTCCTCCTCCTCCTCTATCCTACCCTCTTCTCTCCCCCACCCCCTCCTCCCCCCACCTCACTGTTATCACCACCTCACGACTTGCTACACGCCCTTCACTCTCCACCCGGGATGTTGTGGTGGTTAGGTAGTTCGCTCCTCGTAGGTGGTGATGGCAAACGAAAACTTATTTATTTTCGTTGGTTCCTGCCTCTTCAGCGGGGCTACCGGGGACTACTGGCTGTGAAGGACTACATGGGGACTGTTGAGGTGGCATGGGAGCTGTTTTGTGTTGGGGCTACTGGGTGTGGTTAGCTGGGGACTACATAGGCTAGATTTGGTTAGGTTAGGTTAGATTTCTCGAGATTCGTTCAATTCTCGGCCATCGTGAGACAGAATGCGATAAGATTTAACTGTTTAATAAAAATGAATGGTGGTTTTACAATCCTGGTTAAACCTTGTGACTGGCGAATGACTGGTTCATCAGCTGTGACTGATCTGTGGATAGCAACTGACTGGAAAGGTTACTAACAGTAAGAGGTGGGTAACTGGATGATCTATTAACTGTATAGAAATAGTGACTGGCGAGATTCTCTTCATAGGGACTGGTAACTGGAGAACGATCAAAAGAGTAACTGGATAACTGGTGAATATAGATAATTTTTAACTATTGAAATCATACGACATTGATATCCTTAGTCACGCTACAGTCTACAGAAAATATCCAAAATTAGGAGACAAATTTAACTGTTTATAAGAAGCGAGAAA